TTTTTCGATCGTTCTCCCTTTCCTCTGTTGCCTGCCTGTCTGTCCGTCCGTCCGTCTGTGAACAACTATAGCGTCTAAAATATTAATAGAACTTTCTACAAAATTAATATACCTAATTTAATTTTTTTTTGTAAATAGCTCCAGTTGTTTTCTTTAAATTTCTTGTAAAAATAATGTGAAATACATTTATAAAGATGGCATAGGTACGATTTTCACTGTTAACACTGAAATTTCGGAAATTGAACAAGTTCAATTTTTATCAGTGTCTTCCTACAACAACAATATTAAAGATGTTTTTTTCCAGCAAATGAAATGTGTTTTCAATAATTAGTTCTTTAAGGTCACGTACATTTTTGAAAACTTAAGTAGTTTCGCGCAACTTTGAGTGAAATGTGGAGAATATTAAAAAATATCGGAAACAAGAATTTCTTATAATTCCAATTTTGTCCTTCAAACATTTGAGAGGCGTAGTGCTAAATGTACTGTATAAGATGATATAAACTTTCTTTTGTTATATCCTTTTATTTTTTCAAAAATTACTCAAATGGAATTTTTGACGCGTCACGTCGTTAATATTTACATTGGCGACGACTTATATACATTATAGCATATATAAGTACATGTTCTTCAAATGTCTTATATAGTTTCTCGAAAATTCAAACGTTTTCTGTAAAAATTACACATTTTCGGAAACACTCAAATTCCTTTTCTCCAAAAACAAATCCAAATTGTTTCTTCAAACTTTTTGAACGGGTAGTGACAAATGCAAGCTTAAAATGACATAAGAACCATGTTGCTGTATTCTTGTGTTGTTGTTTTTTTTTCATTATTTTTTGAAATATCACTAACACTGTTAATATGAGCATTCCATGTTCTTGTCACTGATAGTAACTGGTTAATAGGTTTTTGAGTTTGGTATATATTGGCGTAAATTAATATTGATCTTTATAAAAAAATTGAACTTTTGGGTAAATACCTTTGTAAATTATAAGGTTACTTAATACAGTTGCTTTTATAGCATATTTGAGGACTAGCAATTGTACGCGATGTCATAGAGTTATTACTTTAGGTTCAATTAGAATACTACAAATAGGAATGGTATGGAAAAAACTGTTGACGCGTACGCGTGCGGTGTTCCTTTGGGTCGCTGAGGGTCCAAACTTACCGCCAGAATAAATTGCTTCTTGATGAAGCTTCTTATATAAATATGTCGATGCTTACTAAATGAAATTAGGTTGAATGGCCATGTTTGAAATCAAATTGATTGTGAGATACTATATTTTTCAAATCGCAAAGCCATCTAAGTCAGTTATTAATATTTTTGAAAAATATTTTGCATATACTGCATGTTAATGATATTGCTCTGTAGTTTTGATTTTTGGGATGATTTCAAGGTTTAATCACCGGAATAACTACAGCCAATTTCCATATTTTAGGGAATATATTTTGTCCCATATGTTATATATTGCTAGAAGCATTTTCATTCCTTCAAGGAACAGATATTTTATAAAACTATTTCGAATACAGTCAGGTCCTGGAGAGAAATGTCTGGCTCTGTTAATAGTTGAGCTGAGTTCTTTCATTGTGATAGGATCGTTGATATCATATAATGAGGTCTCTCTATTGGTGACATACTCTGCAAGGTTATCTTGATCCTTTTTAAACTTATAAAAGGGTTATGTGTAGTTTTTTGAATTTGAATTTAAGTCTAATTCAAGGTGAACTGGAATTCAAGGCAATGGATTTTTTCATATCATAAGGGTCGGTGATGAGTTTATTGTTTTCAGCTTGAAAAAAGGGTTTTTAGTTACTTCTCTTCTTTCGTTGAATAGTTAATTTTTTCCCATGAATCTATTATATTACGGTGTATTGTTAGACTCGATACATAGTCTGTGATTTTGCTTTACATTCTTAAATTACTCTTCTTGCAGTAGTTCACATTCTTTTGTAATGAGTTTTATTTTCTTCAGTTTTATGCTTTTTGTATGAAGGCTTGTTTAGATTTTTTAATGTTGATTTGGAGATACTTGATGGTTTAATTGATTTAATTAAATTATTAGCATATTTAGCGATAATTTCATTAAAAGTTTCAATGATAACGTCAATATCTTCTGTTACATGGAAAATATTTATATCTGATAGGTATTTACACAGAAGTTATTTACTCAGGTACAAATTAGCTGTCTTGTAGTTCAAACTTGCCAATACTTGTGGTTATTTGTAGGTACTGTAGGGATTCATAACGTTTATGAAAGTAAGGAAATTATCTCAATTATGAGGATTTTTAAGAACGTACTATTGGGAAGTAATGGTTCTAGAATCAATTGTATGGTAAATTGCACTTCCATTACTCAATATAGGGTGTGTTGATTTACCATTATTTAAAACATCTGAGTCACTTTTGAAACGCTACTGCAATTAAAATTTCAATTGTACAATGTCGCATGCATTATTTCGTGATTTCAACAGCCGTAGCATCCTATGGCTTCAAAAACAAGTATAATAAAAGGTTTAGGTATCTGAATACTTATATATTTTATTTCCTGTGTTTCGAAGGAGTAGCTGCTAGATAATTAAATATTACACTCAAAATGATATTGGTGCTTGAATTGACAGCGATCAGTTTCATATATTTTAAGTCTATCATTTTACTATGTGTTACCATTTTACCATTTTATCAAGTGATCTGCAACAAATGTCGCTACCCCAGCACTCGCAATATCAGAACAAACACGATTTTACATATAAATCCTTCATTGATTTAAAATTGGTCTCCTATACACATATAATATAAGGTTTGTAATTGTAACAGAGGAGCTGTATCCTTTCGAATCTTGCAAAAAAGTATTTCCATTTCATTGTAACATTTTCATCAATTTTGTTCGGTGTCCAATCAAATACTTCAGGAAGTTTTTTCCAAATCTTCAGTTTATTTATGTCTTGTGATCGGTTCTTTATTGATCTTTGTGATATAAAGTAGTGGGTTTTAGTGAGTATTTGAATTATGGATTGAAGTTTTTTGCAATCATAACTGCATTGTTAGTTGCAAAGGAGACTTACAGATAATGATTTAATTGGTCGTAATTCAGGAGTAATTTTTCTGGGGGGATTCTCATCGATGGTAGATGTAATAGGTGCAAACATCTCTTTTAACGTCTTATTTTGTAAATTCTCTTTTAAGGGGTCACATTAACCTTTTCTTTTTTTTCTTTTTCTAAGCTGGTTTTAGAGTTATCTGCAGTTGAAGATTTATTATTTTCGGCATCTGCATGAGATGATGCATTAGAAAAGTTATTTTTTGGAAGATTCAATATCTTTACCTTTGTTCCCTTGACTTTCAGTTTGGGAGGGTTCATTAAAAGTTTCCATAGGCACAGAGTCATGGTATTCATCTCCATATGTTTCTTTCCTCTCATTGTCCAAAGGTTTGGAATTGGTGAGCAGGGTTCAGTGTCTGTTTACAAATAAAACAAGATATATAATCTGCAGAGAAATATATTCTGTCGGTTGTATCAAAATAAAGTATAGTGGTTCAGTTAGCAAGGTTACCAAGATCATCTTGAGACACACAAACTTGTCTCATAAATCTCATTATGTGAGAGAAATCTGGTTCACAGATTCCACCTATAATAACATATATTTAAGAATAAGTCTGAACGTTAATTTTACTCAGTTCCTTTTCAATCACTTCTTGATAGATAATAGGACAAACATGTGGTATAATAAATCTTCTGTTTTTACTGATAAGCGTTTTTAAAGCATAACTCGTAGTTCTTGTCTCTTACTGTTCTTGTCTGTCACTGTGTTTTTCAGTGAAGTGATGAGCTACAGATTTACTGCTGAGGAAAGCACAAAATATATTGTAGGATATACGTAGTATAACCTAACGTCGTTGAGATTAATTGTAGTGCTAATTTATCTTTATAATATTTTATGGTTAGATCCACTTGAAATTCAATAACTATTGCTTTTTTCTTAGGGAACTTTTCAGTTCAGGTAGCATAGACATATACAATATCCATGCATATACAATACAGAGACTTATACAATAGCGTACAACGTAAAATAGAGATAAGTTGCAGTGTTCTTCTTGTAGGTTTTACACTGAAAATTAAAGAAGTATATTGGATACACAGTTATGTAACTCCCATAAATCACAAAACAATTTCAAGAGTCTTTTTCTCATAGACTTTGATCACTTCGCGACGGTGTTTACCCCGCGGCGTGCAGCATGTAACTTATAAAATATATTAGAGAACACTTTGTTCTTTGAGTTATTGAATTAGCGATAAAGATTATTAAATAATTCTTATTGAATTTGCATTTACTAATAGGATATTTATGCTGATAAGCATTCTTCGTTTTTAGTTGCATACATTCAGTTTTTATTTGAGTTAGTAGACTTACCAAAATGTTTGTGTAACTAGTTGTTTACACACTTGACAAGAGTGTATTTTGATATTTTTATACAATTAAATATAAAATAGAATTATCACTATACCTTAACCAGCTTTAAAAGACAACGTAGTTTAAAATTTCAAGTATTAAAACGTAAAAGCAGAACAGTTCGCATAAACAAACCCCGTAAATACCCTATTTATTTATTGATACATCGTATTAAAAATTATTCGAATATCACCTTACGAGCATGATATAAAACTAATGGCGGAGTTGTCACTACTAAAGATAAAAGTGGACCGGTCTGATAAACAATCCAGGTCTGATACTCACTGCGGAAGGTGTGACCAAATGACAGATAAGAATGTGTCTACTCATTTACGGTAGATATAAAGCCGATCGTTTTATTCACAAGGGCAGTCTTTCAAAGTCTATGAGTGTTTCTGCATCTCTGCAACAATGGCGCCGAAATACAAAGTCACTTACTTTAATGGGATGGCTCTAGGTGAACCCATTCGCTTTATTCTTTCTCACGCAGGAAAGGAAATTGAAGATATTCGCATTGAGTTAGAGCAATGGCCAACGCTTAAAAAAAGGTAAATATGCAACAGCACCATTTGTTTATCAGGTGTAAGTATGAAATAGTGCACAAAAATGAATCATTTGGTTACTTAACTCTATCCTTGATTCTGGAGAATATTTAAGTTAATAGATTTAGATTTTTTTAAATAATGCAGCAAGCTGAAACGCTTGAATCTATCGATACTAATTGTAATTTTCCCATTATAATTAAAGACAATGTTTTGTATATTTTAAATATACTTACTGCACTTTTTGGCATTACTACCACTGAACTAGCGTTTTATATTCACTTTGAAACGACTTCATTAATTACGTGTTCGTTTTACACACACATTGCATTTTTGGGTAGTTTCGCAAATTGTGGTATCGAAAGAAAAGCACAAAGTTCTCATTCGTAAATAATTTATTTATAGATAGAAAATGTTAAACAACAATCCATAAGAAATTTTTCTTCATTGAAATATAATCTCGAAACATAATTGTTTTCATTAAGATTTTATATGATGAAGAGAAGATATAATATCGTAACATAAAATGGCTTATGGCTTATAAATTTCATCTTCAAAACATTATATTTGTTACTTAACGTAAGTTAATTACCTCAGTGAGATGTAACTGACCTTATTACAGGTATTTTATATTTTTATGAACAACATATTACCAAATTTTCTTACTTTACTGCCGTTACTTTCTAAACCAACTCGAGAATAAAAATTTAGCTTTCATTTTTTTTATTTTCGTGTATCAGAAGAAATACAGAATATTCGGTTATTTTCATGGTGTTTCAAAATCAGTGTGACGTTCATTTGGCACCATAAAAACATTCTTATGATATTTTTTTTCTTTGACGAAACGGGTTTTATATTCAAAGTAGTACGAATTCAATCAGATCTTGTAAACAAAAAACGGGAACTAGACATTTCAGTTCAATTATTCCGTTCATTCCAAACTATGAGCGCGTCGATTATACTCATTTGACTAATTGACTGTTTCACCAATCACAAAATATTTTTTCGTATTTGCTATTCTCAATTGTGCGGACCTGATGCAATGTAAAAGGTAGAAAATTAGTTATTTTATAACCGTGTGCCCTTTAATCTAACTCTTCTTTTACAGATGTCCCTTTTGGAAAGATTCCCACTTTAGAAGTTGATGGTAAGACGGCGCACCAGTCTATATCAATCTGCCGTTTCCTTGGAAGAGAGTTTGGATTAGCAGGAGAAAATAACTGGGAAGGTCTCCAAATTGACGCCGTCGTAGATACAATACAGGACTTGCGCATTGGTATGAGATGACTTGATGTATTTCTTGAAGTAAAGTTTTAATTTACACTGGCAGTAAACATTCACCAATATTCTTACAGCTTTTTCAGATTTTATGCACGCTGAAGACAAAACTGTTAAAGCACAGAAAAAAGAAAAACATAAATGAAACTCTACCATTTTACCTCTCACGACTGGATGAACAAGTAGAAATCAATGGAGGATATTTTGTGAATAATAAGGTTTGCATATCACTAATGCCAAAATTATTTTTAAAAAGTATTTTATTTGTAGAGAAGATTTTTTAGTGATATAATAATCTACAAATAGAATCTGGCTGTGATTTCAAAATAGCTGCCTTATAATCTCATACGCATATCTAAATGTAAAAAAATACTTAACTTGTTTTTAATATTTTTGTTGTTGGACTTTTTTACCATCCAGATTTCACGGTTATCAAATTGAATGATCTCTTTGCTAACATGCACGGTATACTTGTGGAAAAATAAACAATATTATCCTTTCTTTAAGAGAAAATAATACTCGAAATTTTAATACTCGACTTCACTGGAAAAAATACTGCCTTTAAGTGAGCACCGTAACAAAGTCGGTTCAGAAGAAGCTCGAAAGACTACTCTGGACAGACAGACATCTACAGAGAGAAACAAAAGTCGTAAAAACAAATGGATTCGTTTTTATGTAATGTAAATAATAATATGGCATTAAATAGGCAGTTATTTTGAAAGACACTTAGACATATTTATTTAGACACTTAGACACTATGACATAGAAATAGATAATTACTGTTTCGTCCATTTTTCAGCTGTCTTGGGAAGACCTTTATTTTGCAGCAATAACTGAATTCTTGAAGGGTGGTCTGGAAGTTGATTTCATATCTCAGTATCCGAATCTGAAAGTACTGGCGGAAAAAGTTTGGAATTTACCAAGAATTAAAGCCTGGCGGGAAAAGCGCCCCAAAACACAATTTTAAATGTACATGAACTATTAAGATTAATAAACATGTTAATTATGTTTTTATATAAAATCCTACGTATTAACTGTAGTATTTCCTCAGGTAACTGTAGTTCTTTGCCACAAATTAAATAGCAAAATGGTTCTCTTATTCATCGTCAATGTCAAGGAAAAGTCCTAATGGTCTATTCCACTTCCAGATATGTTCCTTTTATCTCCTCTTTAACCTTCTAAACGATATTGTAAGTGGCTTAAGGTCAGACAAAAAATGCAGTTATAATCGATAATGTGTAGAACAGTGTAAAACGTAAATGAAGGAGAATACGTACATCAAATAAATGTATACTTATATGTGAAGGTGCCGAACGGTAGTTGTATAAGTTCCAAAACTGATACTAAGAAAATAGTTTTAGTCGAGGTAGAAGAAATGGGAGTTAAATGCTGCGTGCCTTATCATTTTCGTGTCCTACGTGATACATCATAGTACTTTTTCCTTCGTTTCACCAATGGCGTCCATTTGCCTCCTTATTCAGTATTTACCGTTACAGGCCAATTTTTAAAATAAGCATGTTTAACTGAATAAATAAGTGTAATAAATTCATCTTGACGTTTGTCTGAACCGATACTGGTCTTCTTCCTATAATATATAGTTTATCTTGTTTAACAACTTCAAGGGAACATATTAGACGTCCATAGATTTAAATTTACCTCTAGTAAATTTGAATGAAAAAGTTAATGTTTCCTTTAAACTGAATGCTACACTACTTTCTCTCTCAAATTGTGACTACTTATGCTCAGCCAGTTCACACATTTTTGCAGTTTTTGTTTCTCGACACTATTTTCGGTGGACTCGATCGACACCAGTGGCGTAGCGTGGCTTAGGGAGTGGCATAGAGTAGGGACGTTCAGATGCTGAGAATCCTCACGTAAAGTATTAATCAAAGAACCCTAAATATGGTATTGAAAACCTTGCAGCGATGTTGCGACCCGACAAAATACTACTTGTAAGTGAGCACCGAAACAAATGAAACCTATGAGAATTAGATATAGCCGCAGGGTCTGTAAGAATTTTTATATTGCCCAACTACCAATGGGAATTATATGCAGACCCTATGGAAATTAGATATTGTCCTAAAGTCTAAGAGAATTAAATAAAGTCACAGGGATTATGGGAATTTAGATATAGCCGCACATTGTATTAATTTTAAAAGTGATTTCCCATGATTGAAATCGGCGCGTTGTGACAAGCTGGCCTCTGATTACTTGGACGTAAAAATACTTGGAGCAAGATTGCGAGATAGCGACGGGCAATGATGCATGCGGAGACGGTGAGATTCCCCCTCCCCTCTTCCGTCCTGTCACAGAGATTCCCGAGTGTCTTATGATAGCATACGACTAAGGAAAGAGGCTTGTGAGCAGGTTGCACACAATCGCACGAGAGTGCAGCACACTTGAGGTTGTCACTGAAATATTTTTTTCATTCGTGATTCTTTGCGTGGCATTGGACACAAACAGTGGAAATAGTGCTGACGTACTAATTATTAATATGTAAGAAGTTTAATTCTTCTTAAATAAATATTAAATATTGTTTAGGTCTGAAAGACACTCACAAGTGATCTCAATAGAATTGCAGCCATTTTAAGGTTTCCCTTTTGTACCTCCCAGCAATTAGAATACGAAATTAATATTTTATTATTTTATGCATGTTTTTATTTTCTCATATACGTACGTACATACGGAGTAATATACGTACTAAAGAAATAATTATGTAATGGTACGGAAAATCAACTTGGAGAATACAACGGAAATTCACGTTTTGGGGGTCCCCTGATACCAAAAAACTGTTACCACAAAACGTCCGTCCGTCCGTCCGTACGTCGGACCGTCCGTCAGTCTGTCAGTGCTAACACTAGTGCCTTAACTATTCGTAGAATGTTTAAAAAACTGAATTCTTTCCGCTCGATTTGGTCTCATTCAAATCTCTGTGATTTTGAATAACACTCTTCAATTTTGAGTTGTACTTTATATCAAGCCACTGGGACATTTCAAAAGTTTCCTGAAAACTAGCTCCAAATTTTTTCTTTAACTTCCTCGTAAGTATAGACTGATATGCGCGTGTAAAGGTGGCGTAGACTCGATTTTAACTGTTAATTGAATTTTCAATACTTGCCAACATTTCAAATGTTTTCGGCATCTTCCTATAACTACAAAATTGAAGATAGAGAATTTTCCTTGAAATAATATTTCTTCTCAATCATCAGTTCTTTTATTATTGTCCTGGATATCTTCCTAAATTTTAGTAGTTTTTGAGCGATAGAAAGTAAAATATGTGCAATATTAAAAAATATCGAAATCAAAAATGTATTTTCAAATTTTTCTTTAAAGCTTTGATAGGAATAGTGCTAAATGTACTACATAAAATAGCATAAACGCGATTTTGCTGTATTCTTTTGTTGTTGTCTACTCTTTTTATATATCATTGCATTTATGAGAATTTGTGCATCAAATGATGTCTCATAAAGTTTCTCGAACACTCAAATATTTTCTATGAAAAAGAGCTTCAAATGTTGCTTTTACAGTTACGCTTAAACGATATTTTCTTAAAAACTACTCCAAATTTTCAACGAAATCTCCCTTTAGAACAAAGTTGTACCTTTTAATACTATTAAAGTAGTATTCAGCTTCTATCATTAGGAAACCGATAATTGAGAAAATTTCCAAAACATGTACTTTGGGCGTCATTACATGACAGCTGGCAGGAGGATGGGGCTAGACAGAGTCCAGACCAAAGAACTTAGGAATCTAACTTGTACGAGAAAGTCTGTGCAATTCTACTGCACCACAAGTTCTATTCTTACATTCGTTATAGTGGAAATTTTGTTGTTATTCTTGCTCACAAAACTGCGTATCTTCAAAATTTCTCCTATCGGACCACGTTCGTCTTGATTTCCATCCAGAGAACATTCCTGTACGTAATCCTGTCCATAATATTTCATGTTTTGCGGATTGTACATTTCAACCAGCTATCTTGTTAATTTCGTAGTAGTCTTCTGTAGTAATATGATTTTGTGATTATCGCGCTGTGCACACCATCGCTCTCCGCCTGCTCGCTCTGCGCCCCCTTGATCTACGTCCAGTCGCTCCACACCCACTGCGCACTCTCTTTTTACTGGTAACGTCCTGGTTACGCAATCCACAGTAAACCTCTCCCACGTGCCCCATTTTGCTCCCACCTCCTTTACCTTTCCAGTTTGCTGTCCCCAGTCAGCCAACGTCTTGCGCGGTCGATGCCTGCACCTGTGCACATTGCTTCGGTTCGACGGGGCGCCGTCCACATATCAGCTTTAGGCTGCCAGCCTCGCGTCCGCCTCTGCCCATCGCCGATGACAGGGGGTCGACAGAGGGCAGCGCCGGCGCCGCTCACGCTCAGACCCCCACCCCCACCCCGCTGGGTCCTGTTTTCGCGCCCCGGGCCCATCAATCTTCCTTTTTATGCCCGCGAGCGCTCAGCGCCCCCTCCCGACGGCCAGATAAAAGCAAATCGTGTCGCGTCCGCGCTGCAAAATACTTCGTTTGTTTCTGAGATGAACCCCTGATGCTGCGTCATCACCTTTTCCTTAAAACAAATAAAAAGAGGGAGAAAATTGCGAATGCTAACAAACATTTGGAAAAGTTAGAAATATTAGAAAGCTTTATCTGAAATTTTTAAGATTTGAAAATATTTAGGGTTCAGATATTACGGAATATTTAGTTTGCTACAATAGGACTCGAATGTTGAATAAAAAGATAGACAATAAATGAATATGATAAATTAAATTTAACACAAAGACGAGAAGATAGGACAAGTAATTTCTGAAATGCGGTAAAGAGAAATAGATGTAATGAAAATTCGTCCTCTACACCCCTTAACCCACCTTCAATCTCTTTTCACCAACCTCTTTGCCAGGACTGCCCTTTGACCTATCAATTCACGAACTGCATCAACAACCATCTCTCCAGCTCTCATTTTTTCCCCGCATCACTTAACTCCATTACTTGTGTGATCCCTCTTTGACCGCCGTGTAGCTGGGCCCCGTCCTGCTTGCCCCGTTCGCCCTCCTCATCCCGCACTTCCTCCCCTGCCGCCACAGTTAGCGGCGCCTCTACTCCCTTCCTCACCCTCGCCCCGTTCCTTCTTCCGCCACCACCGCCTCCTCCCTGTCCAGTCACCGTCTCTTTCACCAGTCCCCCTTCTGTCCCGCTCCGGATGGGCGCGACCCACCTTTCCTGCCGCCTTCTCATCGCCGCTGCCACTGCCCCAGGCCACCCGTCCTCCACGACCCACCACTCCCGCTGTTGTTGCCACCGCCCTCGCCCCCATTCCCCGCCTCACCCCCGTCCTCACCCCCGCCCCTCAACCACGCCCCACTACGGCGGCCGCCGCCGCTGCCGGCCGCTTCGCCCGCCTCATTATCTGTGTGATGCGGCGCGTGAAATCACGCGGTGCCTGATCGGCAGCGGCGGCATTTTGCCAAGTAAGCGGCGCGGAGGAGGGGGCTGCGAGGGAGGGCGGGGCGTGGAGGGGAGCGCGGAGCGTTTGCACTGGGCCTGCGCTTTCCGGCTGGCGGTCGCTTTGCGGAGCCCTCGGCCCCCAATTTGTTGCAGGTCGCACGCGAGTGGGCGGCAGGCACGCCCCCCTCCCGGCCGATAGCCTCCCACTCGCTCGATATTAGAGTGATTTTGCCCATCCACCAATTCTTCCTTATCTAAGTCTATTTCCTCTCCTTCATTGACTTCCGCTCTCCTCCCACTTCCTTCCGTCTGTACTCAACGCTAACACCTAACCGATTAGACAATTTTCTTCAAAATTGATATTTCCCAATCAATTTGATCGAAATTACGTCCTTACGATGTTCAAAAGGATATTTTGATTTCGGGTGGTATTTTACATGAACTCTTCACGATTCCCAAATTTACTCAAAAATGGCTCCTATTCTTTTATTAGCCTGTATTCTCGGAAAGCGAAAATAACGATTAAGCAGATGGTGTAAGATTCATTTTCAGTGAAATCACTGTTTTTTTAATTGCGAAAGTTCAAAATTTTTTCGGCTGTCAACAACACTAATATTGAAGTTTTTTTCTTTTATGAAATCCGTTCTTCACAGATA